ATCCCCAGCTACTGTCAGTCACATCACTTTCCTCAATATCCCCAGAAGAGTTAATTTCCTCCACCCAAACAAAACAGAAGGTGGAGTAGGAGGTTATTTGATCATGGCTATTAACGCCACCTACGAAAACATCCCACAGCCATCACCACCACCTCCACCTATATGTAAACGAGTGACAACAAGCAATGTGTCAATGAGTACAAATTTCCTGCGTATCTTCTATACACATACATTTTTGTTGTTGTTGTTGTTCTTGCCACAAAATTGACTTTTCTGCCACTTGGCCATTTTTATTCTGCGGCATGCCATCAATTCTCGTGGGACCAAAGATTGTTGAAATACTAGGTGTTTATCAGTCAACTAACTACCACCACTACTACTACATACACACACACTGTCTAACTAACTGTCCTATAATGAAAAATGCTGATGAAAAATCATCAACTACAGCGCCAGAACCGCAAAATGACAGCGCCACTGTGGTGGCAACAATAAATAAATACGTGACAAGCTAAACCAATAAAAAAACAACAGCAGCAACAACAACACCAACAGCAAACACTTGACATGCAATTATGTTTTCATATTTTTCGAAACAAGACAACAATTTCATTTATTTTAATCACTTTGACCCCAGGTGGACACCTTTGCACGTATGGTGCAACACGATGGGAGTAGCAACATGTTACACATAAATATTTTATTATGTAGTACATCATAAGGTGTGTGGAGGTTTTGTTACTCATCGATATATTCTTGATCGATGATATATCCTGGAACGATGCCGCCATATTTATGGTATTTTGAAGGTTTTAAGAACAATTTCCTATCGAAATGTGATGTATATCGAATTCCGAATACCCCACCATATAGTGGAAATATTTTTTCGAAGACACCATTCTAAGTCCTGAAACCCACTTTCTAAAATTTCTCGCAGGTTTAGTATTGAAAATGGTATAAATCGGTCCTCGTTCTGGTTTAGCTCCCTATTCAGTATTTTGTGATTTTCAATAACATTTCTAAGCCGAATTGGCTCATATTTGAGGTGGATCTCATTGAGTCTTGAGTTAATGTCTTAAACGAATTTTCCGAACAAAGTTTCTATATCTTAGCATTACGACGTGACTATAATTTGGTATTCCGGTAAATATTCGCAGAAAATTATAGTCACCATGCAAAGATCACGCTATTTTTCGGTATGTTCTAGGTCTAAGCCAACCTTTTCAACCAGAGTGTATGCAGTTTGGAATTTATTTTTCTCCTGGCAGCCCTTGTATAAAAGTCCCTATAGATTTTGGGTATATGGACATTGTGTAAAAACAGAAGGAATACCTTTATTAGTCCTAGACACATTTTCCAATTTAGGTTCTGTTACCAATATACAGATTTCTAAGTTTCTCAAACTTATCTGTTCGATGTGAGTCCATGTTTTCACATCGAAATATCTATATAAACGTCTGATCGATTTGTAGGTATTTTGAAGTCTATCTTTAAAAGTTCGGCAACCTGTCGTTAAAAAAATTGATGTACCCATGTTGATATAATTTTCAGATATCAGAAAGCGTGGACCAATAGGCCACATCAGGTGACATGGCACAATGACTACTATATATATTTCAGACCTAATGACATATATGCAAAATGCTTATATTTTTCTTCAAAAAATGTTCCAATTGTTCATGCGATCAAACCAATTGTCGAAACACTTGTTCCATCTTGATAGTGACACATCCAACACATGGCTTTCGTTTTCTTTTCTTTTCGATTTTCTGTGAATACTTCGGGCAATTAAATTCAGGTGTATCACTCAGAATTTACCTACTACGTTGTTCAAGCGGGACATTAGTTTCGCTGAAGAAACAGATTACCATTTCCTTCAAAGTACTTCTTCCACGAGCAACTTATCTGATTTATATCATTGGATTTCAACAAATGACCCACTAATTCCAGATTATGGCTGGTCAAAAGATTATTCGGTTTGGGCCGATATGTGAAAGCTCGCATTGTAATGGTTTACATAAAATCGATTTCGCTTTATCATTTTTCGAATTTCTTCGACACATGACCAATTTTTCAACGAAGTGGTTATTCTACAATAAACTTTTGTTTGGATTGATTTGGCACAGCGCACATGTAAAGATCCGAATTTTGGCATTTAAAAGTTTTTTTGAGTCAAAAAAAGATTGAGTCAAAAAAAGGAAAAATAGCTCAAAAATTAAGTTTTCGGTCAACATCATCCCAAAATTATTATGTGATCATCACCGAAAATTATAAGCGTTGACCTTGGCCATAAATGGAATCTCATGTAAATTTTCAAAGCGATCAGCGCTATATTTCCGCCCTCTAGTGTGGTATTAGGTTACTAAATAATGTCTGAATACGTAAGCACCTGTAATATTTATGTGTAACTCCCACATTCCGACAAAAATAAAGTATTTGGTCCATTTCATCCGCTAAATATTAACCGATCTTTTCCAAAAACAATAGGGGTCCTCATTGGCCAGAACCCATTCTACATGCACAATTTCGTGAAGATTTGTCCATAACTGTGGCCTGTATCGTGTTTACAAATTATAATGGACAGACGGACGGACACACATGTCTAGATCGACTCAGCTAGTCGAGATATGACGATCGGTATACTTAAAGGTGGGTCTAGGACCAATATTTCGCGGCGTTACAAACTTTTGGAGCGGCACAAAGCTATAATACCCTGACAACATAGTTGTGTAGGGTATAAAAAGGGCCCATGTAAATCTCGCGGTCCATTTTCTTTAGGTTTCAGTCGTATTTTTCAACCAAAATTATTCCCACAATTTGACATTTCGGGTTCTTGGAGGCTTCCATAGATCATCTGTCTAAAGTGGCTGTAATTTGACAAATTACAGCGACTCTCTATTTTGATAGAGTTCCATGTTTTGAAATAGGTCTATGATTTGTCATAGCACCCAGGACCCTCCCTATTTTCTATATTTTCAAGGTTTTGTTCGCACTTTCCCACCCAAGTGGATGTGATTTAGTATTCCGGGGTTTTGGAGCCTTCCATACATCTATTCAGAAAATGGTAAGCGTATGTTCATGTTTTGACATAGTCCCCATATAAATGTGCCGTCCCCATTTTCGGTTTTTATACCCTTTACCACACGGTGGTATATCAAGTTTCGTTGAAATCGGTTTAGATTAATATATATCTCCCATATATAGTTTCGTCCGATTTTATGTAAATGGATCACCAAAGAGTAAAATTTAGGCAGATTGGCAGCATATTTTGCACAGCGTACTGAATTTGGTCCAAATTTATGTATTCGAAGTTTCGCTGGAATCGGTTTAGATTTAGATATATATCTTACATATATTTTCGACCGATTGAGACAAAATTTTTCGTAGAGTATTGAATAAGGGACAGGTTTGTTGGAATTGGTTCATATTTTATGTAAATGGTGGACTAAAAAGTCAAATTTAAGCCGATTGGCACACAATTTTGTTGAAATCTGTTCAGATTTAGATAGAGCTCCCATATATAGTTTCCTCCGATTTTATGTAAATGGATCACCAAAGAGTAAAATTTAGGCAGATTGGCAGCATATTTTGCACAGCGTACTGAATTTGGTCCAAATTTATGTATGCGAAGTTTCGCTGGAATCGGTTTAGATTTAGATATATATCTTACATATATTTTCGACCGATTGAGACAAAATTTTTCGTAGAGTATTGAATAAGGGTCAGGTTTGTTGGAATTGGTTCATATTTTATGTAAATGGTGGACTAAAAAGTCAAATTTAAGCCGATTGGCACACAATTTTGTTGAAATCTGTTCAGATTTAGATAGAGCTCCCATATATAGTTTCCTCCGATTTTATGTAAAATCGAAACTTGTTGCATGTCAAGTTTCGTATTGGATTATGTGTCGAGCTAAATTTTGGATAGCGCACTGTGTTGCAGAATAGCAAATGCCACAGTTGCCCACATATCCCGACATTTCCGGCATATTCAAGGCCCTTCTTTGATTCGAAACTTCCTAGCTGAGTACCCTAAAAAAGTATTCCAAAATTCAAACAAATGTAATGACACTTTTGTTAATTTTTTGTTCTGTGTAATATCTGAGGACCTACGTTTAGCAGCAACAGGGCACTGTCTGTATGTATGTATTTGTGTGCGTGTGAAAAAGCTAACATTATAATAATAGCCCCACAATTTATGTGGTTAACACATGAGATAATAAACCAATTTAGTTAAAAACATTTCTTGTTTATCTACTTTATCTAGCACAAAACAGGACAAACGAGACGTCAATGGACTTTAAATGAATTACCAACAAATGGCCATTGGGAACAACAATAACAAATTAGAGTTTTAGGTTCTGTTTTCTAAATTTATTGAATTTAAATGGTAGGAAAAGTAATAAGTATTGAAATTCCGATTTACCGTAAATTGAGGGCAGTGAAATTGTTAACCCAAACTCCTTACTTCAGTTCTTCTATAAAGACTTTCTCTACCTTGTCTTTAAAAACTCCTCCAGCCCGTATATAGAGACTCCCTGCTTCAGCTTGCCTACAAAAACCGCTTCAGAGTCTCCTTTCATATGTTTATAGAGACTACTTTCAGATCGTCTGTAGATACTCCATTTAGCTGATCTGGAACCGTATAATTCCAACGAACAAATGGCCTTATATTAATTAATTTTTTTTTCGTAAACACCCTCCACTATTAATTGAACAGAATAGGGGAGGGCCCTATTCCTAGTTTCTGTTCCACAAATCTACACGTAGATTAAACCCAACGTAATTAAATGAAACTACACATCCACACACATTAGTTTACACTTTATTACATCTTATGCTGTAGCATTTAGTGCTCTGTCAGCAGTAATCATAAAATTTTCTGACATTTATTTAATTGTTACTGTTGTTAACTTAATTAAAACTAATATTAGTTTATTTATGTATAAATATATTTTTTCTAATTTCATGTACCATCATATATTTTTTCCTACATTACAGATACCCGACAGCGGCCTGACATACCTATCCGAACGTATTTTGCTATTTCGTCACGATTACAACAGTCCCAATGTTCTGCACATCATCAATTCAGCAACGGATATTGCCGATGAAACTTTAGTGGAAATTGTTCTCGTTGCCAGTCGTAAGTAGAAGTTCGAAACTGTTGTTTTTTTTTTTCATTTTTTCTTGATTGAAATTTAAATTGGGTGTAATGAATTTAAATGGTAGCAACAAGTTTTAGAATCTTTTGTGGACTTTAAGAATAGTATAGGAGGTTTATTTATAAGAAAAACTATTTAAAATTAAATAAGTGGCACAGTTCCGTCCGGCCGAAATTAAATTGAAATTCCGAAAATAGATCGGGAATTTTGTTATGGGGCAAACTATGCCATAATAATTTATTTTGTTAGGAAACCCTACCCTGGGGCATCTGTTAATATTTATAGTTGTTGATAGGTATATTTTCTGAGAACCCCAAATACTAAATTACATCTTATTTTGTTGTAAAACGTGCCCAGAATCCTAACATTTGCGGGCACCGTTATATAGGGGTTGTACCAAAACGTAGGCCGATATATCCCAAACATCATTTGGGATTTGCAAAATTTCAAATCTCTCTATTTCAATTGCAAGACAGAGCCATCAGAACTTTAATTTTGGATTTTTAAAAGGCATTAAATGCGTACATTTTCAAAGATCATCCGATCTAAAATCGTGTATTTTCTTTCTTTTAAAATAATATTTTATTTTTGTAATATTTTCTTAAAGATCAAAGGAACTATAAGTGAGAATTTCTGAAGGAGTTATAATCAAAGAATTTTTCTTCAAAATCCTTCCGAACTATATGTCTAAAATTTTCAAATAATATTTTTAATGGCCTTCCAACTGTACACGTGAAGTTTTGAAAGAATATTTCACAGGGACCTTTTCACGAGGACTTTTTGAACTTTAGGCGTGGATTTTTTAAAGAATATTTTCTCAAAGTCCTACAGAACAATAAACGTCGATTTTTTTAAAGAATATTTTCTCAACGACCTTCCGAACTTTATGCGTAGTTTTTCAAAGAATATTTTCTCAAGGACCTTTCAAACTTTATCCATCGATTTTCAAAGAATATTATCTCAAGAACCTTTCAAACTTTAGACGTCAATTTGTCAAAGAATATTTTCTCAAGGACCTCTCAAACTTTTATAAAAAAAATATTCCCAAGGGCCTTTCGAGCTATAAGCGTAAATTTTTTAAAGGATATTTTTCCAAGGACCTTCCTATCTATAAGCGTGTATTTTTAAAGATGGATTTTTTTAAAGAATATTTTCTCAATGACCTTCCGAACTGGAACCGTAAATATTTTAAATAATATTTTCTCAAGGACCTTCCGAACTATAAGCGTGGATTTTTTAAAGAATATTTTCTGAGGGACCTTCCGAACAATAAGCGCGGATTTTTTAAAGAATATTTTCTGAGGGACCTTCCGAACTTTAGGCGCGGATTTTTTAAAGAATATTTTCTCAATGAATTTCGTAACTTTAGGCTTGGATTTCGCAAAGAATATTTTCTCGTGGATCTTCCGAATTATAAACGTGGATTTATTTAAGAATATTTTCTCAAGGACCTTCCGAACTTTAAGCGTGGATTTCTTAAAGAATATTTTCTCAATGACCTTCTGAACTTTAAGCGTGGATATTTTAAAAGAATATTTTTCCAAGGGCCTTTCGAGCTATAAGCGAGCATTTTTTAAAGGATATTTTCCCAAGGGCCTTCCGAACTATAAGCGTGAATTTTTAAAGAATATTTTCCCAATGACCTTCCGTTCTATAAGCGTGGATTTTTTTTAAAGAATATTTTCTCAAGGGACTTTCGAACTATAACCGAGAATGTTTTTATGAATACGTTCTCAAAGACCTTCGAACTTTGAGCATGAATTTTTTTAAAGAATTTTTTCTTAAGGACCTTCCGAACTTTGAGCGTGAATTTTTTTAAGAATATTTTCACAAGGACCTTCCGATCAATAAGCGTGGATTTTTTTTAAAAAATATTTTATCAAGGACCTTCCGAACTAAAAGCGTGGATTTAAAAAAATATATATTTTCTCAAGAACCTTCCGTACTATAAGCGTGAATTTTTTAAAAAATATTTCCTCAAAGGCCTTCTGAACAACAATCATCCTACTGAAATGGCTGTAATTTAATATTATTGAAGGACCAAAGCTTTGCAGAATATGTTCGATACTAGTTCAAGTTTTGTTATAGCGCCATAATCTGTGAATCGATATAAAGGTCGATTATATGGGGGCAATATCAAAACATGGACCCAGATATCCCATTTTCCCCACAAATGGGTATTTACCCGCCCCTCGTGTATGTACCCGTTAAAACTCTATTCATTTCCTTACCAAAGTGGAGGTAATTTAACACTCCGATGGAGCCTAACATATTTTGACATAGGTCCCATATAAAGGTTCCGACCCATTTTTTGTATTGGTCGTAAATAAGATTGTGGGTTCATGGACAGCAAAAAAATATTGACAGATATTGGTCCATGATTTGAAATACCCGACATAAAAATGCCCGATACATTGATGGTATTTTTTAAGATTTAGAAAATTAAAAATTCCGATTCATATTTTGATTCAGTTCCATAGTTGTTGTAATTTGGCATTCTGAGTTCTTGGAGGGAGAAAAAAATCTTTACAGAAAGTTCGATATTAGTTTATATCATAGCTCACAGGAATTTTAACTGTTTACAACTATGTTTCAAGGGAATATCAGATCAATAAGCTTGGATGTCATCAACAACATATTCTGAAGGACCTCCGGCCAATAAAAATAATATTTTTTAAGCAACTTGAAGCACTGCAATTTGCACATCTCATTTATTTGGCCTAAATACGAACTATTTTGAAATTGTAGTAAATCGGTTCATATTTAGATACAGGTTTCATTACATATTTCATTTAAATGGTGCAACAAATTCCCAATCATTTCCGATAGTCATGAAATTCGGTAGAGCGTATCAAATTGAGGTCATATATTTATTTTTAACCGATTTAATTTTAAGTTAGACCTATTGGGATCAAAGTTGGCACAGCCAATTTATGTTAGATTGAGTATTCATTTTTGAGGCAGTATTAGGTTTTATTGAAATCGATTAAAACTTAGATATAGCTCTCATATATATTTTTGTCCGATTTCATGTACACTATACACCGAATACACCGATTGTGACGTTGAAATTGGTTCAGATTAAGAAAGGTCACATATTTATTCTCAATCGATTTAATTTTAAGTTTGACCTTGGCACCAAATTTGGCACAGCCAATTGATGTTAGATTGAGTATTCAATTTTGAGGCAGTATTAAGTTTTATTGAAATCGATTCAAACTTAGATATAGCTCTCATACATATTTTTGTCCGATTTCATGCACACTATACACCGAATACCTCGATTGCGACGATAAATTCGGTTCAGATTAAGATATAGCTCCCATTTATATTGTGGTCCTATTTCCTTCTTTTACAAATTTGGCACAATTACATGTATTGAGTTTCATTAATTACGATTCGGATTTATATAGAACTTATATTGATTTTTCAATTTCTTACACTTGTTTATTTCTATCTTCTTCTTCTTTTTCACAGCAATTTTATATCCAGCCTCCGAAATGCCAACCCTTAAACCACACAATCTAAATGTCCATTCGTATAAGGCGCCAACATTCTGTGATTTTTGTGGTGAAATGTTATTTGGTTTAGTGCGTCAAGGACTGAAATGCGATGGTATGTATCGATTGATTGGATATCCATTATGGAAATGTGCAAAGCATTCCCCTTCGCCCCGCATTTTTTTTTCTAAAACACAACTATAATTAACCGTTATATTTTTCTCTTTTTTTCTCTACATTTCCATTTCAGGTTGTGGTCAAAATTATCATAAACGTTGTGTGGTTAAAATACCCAATAACTGTAATCGTTCGAATAATAACAGTAGCAACAGTTCAAAACGTTCCTCACTGCTACAGCCGCCCAGAAGTCCATCGGGTGGTTCAACACAATCACTTATATCGAATGATGAACAACACCACCACCACCAACAGCAGCAGCATCACCAACAGCAACAACAACATGGTGTGAATCATGAATCTGGAAGTTCTCTGGTAAAACGGATGTCTGATCTTATGAATGATATTATTAAATAGAATGAATCGAACAAAAATCCAAAACATAGTAACGTTCCATTTGATGAAAAAAAGATAATATATTTTAGATGTAACAACAAAATGCCACTAGCATGGACTTTATGAGGAAATTAGGAGGCTAAAATTAGATATGCTATTTTTAAAAAAAGTACGAGTATGTGAGCTATACGGAAATTTGAACCGACTTCGACAGAAAAAATATCGGTTGTGATGTATAAATATTTTGTTAATGATGACGCTCGGTTATGAGGAGTATTAGCGAGAAGTCAGGGGATACATTTTTGAATTGTAAACAAAATTTATGTTCTTGCATCCAAGTTTTTTTACCAAGATTGTCGTTTATAACGATAGACAAGGTCCGGTGGAATGGCCACTACAAGTTATAGTCGTTATTAGCGGTATCAAATATAGGGCGAAATTTATTGAAATCGGTATGTACCTACTCACATTTTGGAGAAAGAATACAGACATATTCTGTATGTCATTTTCGAATTTTAAATAGATTTACCACGATTATGGTGGTTTTATTTGGAAGAAAACGATCAATCTTGGAAAAAATACATGTTCAAATATGGTCCTCTCCTTTCAGTACCTCCCTCACAAAGAGTCAACATTTTAAAAATTTATTTAATCTGTATCAAGGTAATGAAATTTCCGATTTAATATAAACTGCGCACACCAAAAGTTTTCTTTCAAACTTAAATATAGTTCGAAGATTATGAATAATATCGAACCTTTCCAAAAAATTGTGGCGAATTTATAATATAAAAATTGAATTTATAATAATATAATTTTATAATATAAATATTTTGAGGAAAATAATTGTATATAGCCGTGCGAAAAGACTAAACTAATATTTGAAACAATCATGACTCATCGGTCTACTCCTTCTGGTACCTCCCCAATAAAGTGTATAAAATTTGAAATCCAAATCCGAAGATTGAAATTATTGGTTCAGTCTTTTTGGTATCTCCCCCACTAAGGGTCAAAATGTTAAAACTGTGTACATTTAATTTAAATCTTCAATACTAATCGCCAGCCGGTTCGAAATCGTCGAAATTTTAAATCGTAAATGGGATTCCCTTTAAGCTACCCCGAGATATGAGCTTACATTTTTTAGGTGGTGAGATTTTTTAACGAATGCCGTTTGAATTTTTTTAATTCGGATGTTCCAGTGACAGTGATCGTGAATGGTGGGTCCCCTTAAGTACCCCGAAATATGGGTTAATATTTATTTTTGGTTGGGGAGAATTTCTACCCAATTTGTATACCCTTTACCGCACTGTGGCACATGGTATCTTTGTGCATATGTTGGTGACAGGTAAAAGGAAACGAAATAGATACATGGTCCCTTTTGAGAATATGCATAGAATCAGTGAGTCGATTTACGCATGTCCGTCTGTCTGTCCATGTATTCTTAAAAAAATACTGGTCGTATTTCTAATCCGATTTGTATAAAATTTGACACAGCTCACTTATTTGGCCGAAGGACGAACTTTATTGGAATTGTAAAAAATCAGTTCGTCTAATTTACTGTAAATGGTGCACCAAAGTCCCTATATATCTTTCGATTTGAAGGAAATTTGGCATAACGTACTGCATTAAATCTGGAATTATGTGTGTTAAGTTTCGGGGAAATCGGTTAAGATTTAGATATAGCTTCTATATATATTTTCATCCGATTTAATGTAAATGGTGTACTAAAATCGCTGTATATCTTTCGATTTGGGCGAAATTTGGCATAGAGTACTGACTTAACTCTGGAATGATCTGTTCCTTTCATCAGATCATTCCCTCCGATTTTATTTTAATGGAGCACCAAAGCCCCTATATTTCTTTCGATTTGCACGAAATTTGGCATTAAGTCTAAAATTATGTGTGTTAAGTTTTGTGAAAATCGGCTCAGATTTAGTTACAGCTCCTACATATATTTTCATCCTATTTAATGTAAATGGTGGACTAAAGTCGCTGTATATATTTCGATATGGACGAAATTTGGCATAGCGTACATACTTAAGTCTGGAATGATCTAATTTTCGTGAAAATCGATTCAGATTAAGATATAGCTCCCATATATCATTTCTTCCGATTTTATATAAATGGTGCACCAAATTCCCAATACATCTTTCGATTTCCACGAAATTTGGCAAAGCGTATTGAATTACGTTCAGAATGATGTGTGCTAAGTTGCATGAAAATAGGTTCAGATTTATTTCGTAACAAAATTTTACATGTGTTCATGACAGAGATGGAAGTTTCAAAAACACTTAACTTTTTTCTGTTTATATCGCGCTTTTTGTGCTAGGCTAAGAACTTTCCGAACTGCCCTCGTACATTTCAAAATGACATGTTTATGGGTTGGTTTAAATTGGTGCATATATCTATGTATATCACATATTTAATTTAGTCCGATTGCATGTCGATGATCCTCTACAGATAATATCTCTGTTCTATCGACGAGGCATTATACCTATGAGCATCTGTTGTATGTACACAAAGTGTTGAAGGGTACCATATAGTCGGCCCAGTGCTACTTTTGAACTTTCCTTACTGGTTTCAAATTAAACCAGTGAACGGAGCAGTAGAGTCGGACGGGACCATACCATAACCAGAACCTTATGCAAAATTTCCTAACAATCAACGCTACATTTTCGCCCTACTGGGTCTAGGATGGGAGTCGAAATATGACGATCGCTATAACGGGTAGAGATATACTAAAAGGTGGGTCTAGCTATAATATCCTTACAACATAGTTATGTAGGATATAAAAATGGGGAATATCGATCCTACTAGTACGATGCACACACAATAGTCAACATTTTGCTAAAAATTATTAATATGCTACTAAGGCTCCACAAAGATTCAAAATTTTGAAAACGTTTGCAAACTTTATTTATATTAACATTTTTACCAATCCTAGATCATATTCAAAGATGGTACCCATCGGTCCACCCCATCTCGTACCTCTCCAACAATGCATTAAAGTTAGAAAAAATTGCAAATTTTATGCATGGATTAGAACATTGCATATACAAATATTGTTTACACCTACAAAGTGTAAACATTTTGAATATTTATTCCAATGGGTTGTCGTGTTTGATCCAAATTTTGCATTTCTATCAAAAAAATTGATAGTCACAATTGGGAACTATGGATAAAATCCTTATCTTAGCTGGATTTACTATCTGACCTTGTGTTGACCTTGATTTTGCTATGACTTCTTGACATCGGACACCCAATAAATGTTTTCAACATTTCTATTTAATATCTTCATATTCCATGCTAGTGTCATTTTTAGCATTCGTACTTAATTAATTTACATATACACAATCATCTAAACAATTCAAAATGTAGATAGAAGATATTTCAAGTAATTATTTTTTATATATTATTTACATTCAAATTAGTTAGTTTTTAAAGCAATATTTGGTGATGGGTATTCAAATTAAGACAAACAAATTTTATATTATTATTTAGAATCTCAATTATTTGTATACTCTTAAGATCCATGATGGTATTTGATATTTTGTATTTTCGGGAAATTTTGTGATTAATTGTTTAATCAAAATGTGCAATATAATAGGGATACATATCACGTAGGGAATAATGGTGATAAACTTTTTAACTATAAAATGATTAAATCTTAAACGTCTATGCTCTCTTTAAAAGTATTTTGATCTTTAAAATCACCTTCAAACATTCCATTGCAACTTTCTTCCACTAATTATTAGGCCTTTTATTTTTTATTAAAAAACATACTCAACGTCACTCATTTAAGCGAAATGAAATTGAAAGTTATCCGTTTTATTATCCTTCTCATATTAAAAAATACTTGATTAACCAATTAATCACTGCTTAAAAGATCTTTTTTTTTAATTCTTGATTTTTTTGTAACATGTACTTATTTTACCTTTTATCTATATTTTATTTTGTAATTCCTTTTTTATTAATCGTTCTTTTATGTTCAATCCAATTTTTTGTTTGCTTTGCTTAACACTCAATAAAAAACAAAAGAAAATTCATTTGTAAACCATTTATTTGTGTTGTTGTTTTTTCTTTCTTTCTTTTATTACTTTCAATATTGTTTTGTGGGTGTTTTTTTTATTCGCTTGATTCTTTTACTTTCGTTTCGCTTAAGACATTGAGTACGTTCATTAATTACTATTTATTTAGGATTTTTGTTTGGTTGAAATTGAAATTGTTCAGAACATTTGCGTATGCAAATAAAAAGGGTTACTCAAGAATTTATACGCCACCTCATAGTTATTGGAAATATATTGTTTGTCGTTCCGCGTAATAGCAAGTTTAGATCGCAATCTGTACTCAAATTAAACAAGTGAAAAAGCGTTAATAAGTTCGGCCGGGCCGAACATTGGATACCCTCCACCATAGTTATACTGACAGATACATGCAATGAAAATATAGGGGACATACCAAAAAGTGGGCATATACCGATAATTCTACAATCCGATTTATGTAAACCATTATGTACACCAAATACAAACTTCGGCAATTTTTAATGTGGATTTTTCCTAAAATCTGTAAGATCTAAAAAGTGGACTTATACTGATAACGCATGATAGAGTATAAAATCCTCAAACTACTGTAATTTAGATTACAAAGTTATATGAGGCTATGCCTGAAGGGGGGCCAATATTGATTACATAGTGTAGGAAATAGTGAATATTTGGGGATATCATTATATGAGGGCTATGCCTAATTAATGACCGGTATATGCTAATATTGAACCCAATATTTTAATTGTTTATCTCAATTCTTTCCTTCAGGAGGTTTGACTATATTGAGGAGATGCCTAAATGTCTGCCGATATATTTCATTATCGTCATGTTTTCTTTTATCACAATATCTTTAGAAGGCGGAATGCTTACAACAGATGGCTAAATAGTCTTTGTAGGGTAAACATTGACTATTCCCCGTAACGACTACCCAACCTCAACACACCGAACAAATCAGAAAACTATATTATTATAAAAAGGGGGTTATATGGGGACTAACCCTAAAAATATTTATAATTTTTAGTGGGGAAATTTGGAACCCAATAAGAACCCAATGTACCAAATTTCAGCGAATTCCGTTGAAAACCGCTCTCAAAAAACCCAAAATACCGAAAATTGGAGAAAATTTTTCTGTTCATAATAAAAGAAAATTCCAGACTCAATAAAGAGCGTCGGCGACGGCGCCGGCGAACGGTGGTTCAAACTCCCTTTTGGGAAAATATGAAATATTTGCAAATTTCTGGAGAAGGAAATACAGGGTGAGATAAAAAAACAGCAACAAAGTCAAGTGCCACAATTTTTACACTTTTTTTAAATTTTATTGAATGAAAGCAAAAATGTCGGAAATAGCGTTAAATTTTAGAATAAGTTTAGATTTGTTCGAATTGGTCACCTTAGGCGCAAATTAAGGCCTTCAAACGGCCAATGAAACCATCACACCCTGTCCGATTGTTGCCCGATGTTGGTGGCCATTGTGCGCTCATTTTGTAACCATTCTTGGGTGGTGCGTTCACCATCGCACTCAGGATGGTCCTGTTGGAATGTCCAAGGTCTGCGGCCAAAATGTTTGCGCGCCCAAGGCTTTAATACACCCTCCGATAATATTCATATATTTTTTCGATAATATTCAGCATTTATTCTGATGATATTCTATTATTACGAGCGAAGAGCTACCATCGGCTGTTATGGCGGCCCACACCATCACCATGGCCGGCGCTTGAGTTTTGTTGGCCAACCGAAGGTTCACATTTTCAGCTGAGCTCTTTGGCAAGTAAACACGATCATTTTGTTTGTTTACAAACTGCTGGACAACGAATGTTTTCTCATCGAAGAAAACCAAATTCGACAGTTCACGACTTTCGGCCATGCTCTTTTGCTCTTTTCGTGCTATTTTTTTTCGGTTCCATCACGAATAACTTTTTTATGGAAAATTCTTACCAAAATGCTTGTGTACGCTTGTAAACAATATAATGAGGTGTCACTGGATTTTAATGATTTTTCTGAAGAGTGGTTTAGAAATGACAGCAGTCTGAAGTTGGTTGTAGTTTTTTCATCTCACGCTGAATATATTTCTCGGAAACTATATCAAATATTAACATTAATTAAATATTAACTACAAAAAGTCTTTCGTAAGACTTTAAGAAGAAGTTTTATATCTTTGTTTGAGGCTACCACAATGATAAGTAAATCGATAATCTCATGTTTTCCTCATCCTATTTTAACCGACAATTTTTCAGAATTTTTTGATGCAATCAAAGAAGTCTCATGGAAAAAAAATAGTTTCAGACCTACAAGTATAGTAAAACTAAATTATTTTCAGATAATTTGAATTTTATTGGGAATGCCCGTTCTTCGGTGGAAACTTTTCCGGAGACCCCCATATATTCTCTATAGTTATTATTAGTTTTTGAGTTGCCGCTTACGCTGAAAATCGATTATATCTTCAAGAGTGTTTAAATTTTCCACTTGAAATTTTAAAGAAACAGTCTTGAAAAATAATGACTTCAAATTAAAAAAAAAAATTAAAAAGAATTTTTTTTTAATCGTGAATGTGGTTTCCCCTTAAATTACAACCGTCATACTGGTGGACCTATACACCTTCAATATAATATAGATATGGAATATAATATTGCTGGTCACCCAATGAAGGCTATAAAAGTACCTCCCAACTTTTGGTTTTGGGGTGTTTTTTGCACTTCTCAAACCAAATTGGCTGGGATTTTTTTTTATTTTGGAGGATTATAGGGTATATTGACCTAAGTTTTTGGTGTAGCCCACATATAATACCCCATATTAGTCGACATTTTTGGCGATTTTTGGTTTCTTAAAAGCCATTTACAGTCAGTCACTAGTCACATTTTCCTACCGATGTAACTTTATTTTACCATTACGAAGTGTCTTAAATTTCGCATTCAGGGACTTTGGTAAAACAACTTCTTCACAGTTAATGTTCAAAGGTCACGCCACATTTTCTGTATGTCCTAACGCAATTTTTCAACCTGAATGAATGTATTTTAATATTTCATATATATAGCGACTTTTCTATGTGTTTCTCTAAGATCACCCAAAATACATTCACGGAACAATTTCTTACTAAACATACAGGTTGTAAATGCATTGGTTGATGGTAAACCAGTAAGGACAATTTCATGTCAATGTTCCATCGAGGGAACTTGAACGAATTTAAATATGTGACGTTTATCTATAAGTGAACCGACTAACATCAATCCATACACATGCCTTTCTGCAACCTATGCTAAATTTCACTTCATTCGGGCAGATCTGGAGTCGTTTGCGTATAATGGGACAAATTTATGTAAATCGATTTAGATTACACATGACATACAATATTCGGTATGCCGCCCTGTTCAAAATTTAATTTCATTCAGACACCCGTTCGAAAAATGTCTTCATCTGCACAAATTTCAAAAAAAAAAAAAAAAAAAAAAAAAACATAACGCCATTCTAGTCTCAATTTGAAACGTTCTGCAAAATTTCGTGTCAATCGGACAAACATTAGGAGTTTGGTGTACCATTTACCTAAAATTGAACGAAAATATATACATATGTATGTGGGAGCAATATCTAAATCTGAACCGATTTTCCATTTGGTACGCTATGCCAATTTTCGTGCAAATTGAAAGATATATACGGACTTTGATGCACCATTTACATTAAATCGGATGAAAATATATATGGAAGCAATATCTAAATCTGAACCGATATTCACGCACATCATTCTTGACTTAATTCAGTACGCTATGCTAAATTTCGTGCAAATCGAAAGAAATATAAAGACTTTAGTACACCATTTAAGTAAAACCGGTCGAAAATATATCTGAAACGATTTTTCCCAATTTCAATGAGGTTCGCCTCCATCCAATTCGGATCATAAATGCGACCTGTACTTTGTAAATCGACTCATATATTCTCAAAAGGAACCATGTGTCTATCTCGTTTCCTTTTGCCTGTTACAAACATATGCACAATGACATAATACCCTGTAGCACACTGGGGTGAAGGGTATAAAAACCCAACCGTATCATAAATGAATCCACCATCCACTCTAGAGCAAATCGCTAGAGTTGAGTTATTCCAGGAGGAACTAGTTCAAATGAACTACTACGCAAAAGGAACGATTGTTACTATGTTCGGATTTTTCGTTCATCTAGTTCCATTCGCTTCAGTCGTCCATTTTGGTTCTGGTAAACATAGTTCTTTTTCAACCAATCTACATTTTTCCCGTTCATTGGTGGAATTCACAGCCGTTTACCAATGAACGATTGAACTAAATGAATGACCTATTTCCTTTTGCGGAACTATCGGGAAAATTTTAAACAACTTCAGGAACGAGATTGTTCAACTCTATAAATATCAAGGGCGTAGATTATCAGTTAGTAGTTTAGTCATCATGACGGAACACTAGGAAATATATCTTATTCTGGTTGTCTGTCTTTCTTTTTATGTTTGGAAAGCCAACCTGATTTTCAATACATTCTTCAATTTTTAATAACCACATTCCTTTTTCTTCTGCCTTACAGAGTGTGCCAACTTTTCACCGAAGTCATCACCGTTCTTCCTCAGCGGGTAGCCGAAATGGCCAACAAACATCTTCGTCCACGGGTCAGTTGAATAATGTCGTCGGTATATGCGCTACCAGTTTAGCCTATCAAAATATCCGAATACCACACACTTTTATGGTGCATACCTATGGTATACCCACGGTCTGTCAATATTGTAAGAAACTCCTCAAGGGCCTGTTCAAACAGGGTCTCCAATGCCGCGATTGCCAATATAATACCCATAAGAAATGTATGGATAAAGTACCACAAGACTGTACCGGCGAAAGACAGCTGCAACCGAATGATTTTAATGAAACCTTTACCCCGACACATGGCACTGGACACAAGGATCGTGATAACTTCTTTCGCGAAGAATTCGACGATAGTGATTTCGATGAGCAAACCTCAAATGATCACATGCGTAGTGGAATGGCCCACAAAATGGGTGGACGACCCGGTTCGATGGGTGTGCGCACCACAACAAATGCTCAGAATTCACCACCAGAATTGGTCAATGGGTTGAAGAGCAGCGATAGTGAACACTCGACGTATCACAATGAAAATCGTAGTGCCGGTGAAGGACAATCTATCGATGGACAATCGGAACAATCAAGTTCATCATCATCGCCAAGTGCCAATATTCCGCTTATGCGTATTGTACAATCAGTGAAACACACCAAGAAACGTGGCGGCCAAGCTCTCAAGGAAGGTTGGCTGGTGCATTACACCAGTTTGGATTCAACAGTTAAACGTTATTTCTGGCGTTTGGATTCGAAGACCATAACTCTGTTCATTTCCGAGCAAGGCAGTAAATATCACAAAGAGATCCCGCTGGCTGAGATTCAGGCCATTGAAACGAATAATGATGTTCGAGTGGATAATAACTATTGTTTCGAATTGAAAACACCCAATGTTAACTATTATGTGGGTCAAGATCCATTGGCGGGTGTGCGGGAGGAACAGGCTGTCCGCTTACCACCACCGGAGAGTGGTATTGGTACAGATATTGCCAAAAGTTGGGAGACCACAATTAAACAGGCCTATATGCATGTTACCAATACACGTAAGTGCGGAATCGAGGGGGGTTTTTACGTAGTTATAATGATTTGTTTTTATTTTAGAATGTTGTGAATCTGAGGAAAATGTCCAGGACATGGGTCAATTGTATCAAATCTTTCCCGACGAGGTATTGGGTTCCGGCCAATTCGGTGTTGTCTACGGCGGTGTCCACAAGAAAACGAAGCGAGAAGTTGCCATTAAAGTTATCGATAAACTGCGGTTCCCAACGAAACAGGAGGCTCAGCTTAAGAATGAAGTTGCCATATTGCAGGTAAGACTCGCTAAGCGTGGTTTTATATTTGTGGGGATCGGGATCGGTGTTGAGAGTTTCTCTCTCTCTCAGTGTTAAATTGTGAATTGTGTTGGAAAACATTACCACAGGTAGGAACAAAAACGTACGAAAAGGTACCTCAAATTCTACTTCAAATAATAATAAATTATAATTATCGAGAAATATTGGCCAATATTTATACCAGTTATTTGCATAAATAATATATATTATAATTTAAGCGTAAATGTATTCACGAATAATAAAAAATCTAATTTTTGTTTTGGTACGTTTATGTCAATTCGTACTTTTTGTGAACAAAAAGTACACTTGTTACAAAATTAAAAATAGCGCAACTCTAATTACCCTCTCAAGAGAGAGAAACTCTCAACACCGATCCCGATCCCGACAAATATAAAACCACGCTAAACAATTCTCATATTTAGAGAAAAGTGGTTTTTCTGTAGAAAAGTTGTTGCTCTCTTTTACTGAAGATGAGATTCTCCTTCGATGTAAGAAGAGATTTTTCTATTTTATGTATAGAAGAGTTTTCTCTTCTATGTGTAGAAGAGAGTATCTCTTCTAAGTATAGAAGAGAGTATCTCTTCTAAGTATAGAAGAGAGTATCTCTTCTATGTATAGAAGAGAGTATATCTTCTAGGTATAAAAGAGTTTGCTCCTATATGTATAGAATAGTTGATCTTCTATGTATAAAAGAGTTGCTCTCCTATGTAGCGATGAGTAGCTCTTCCATGTAGCGATGTTATACTCCTCTATGTAACAATGATTTCGGGATTTGCTCTTCTATGTAGCGATAAGTTGCTCTTCTATATAGCGATGAGTTGCTCTTCTATGTAAATATGAGTTGCTCATCTATGTATAGAAGAGTTGCTCTCTTCTGTGTGTAGAAACGATGTTCTCTTTTATGTGCAGAAGAGTTGCTCTCTTCTATGCGCAGAAGAATTGCTCTTTTCTATGCTAAAAGAGCTTCTTTGGATGTGGATGTGTTCTATATGGGGTAGTTCTCTTATATATGTAGAAGAAAGTCCTTCTTCTATGTGTAGGAGAGAGTTTCTCCTACTATGCACTGAAGAGATTCCCTCTTCTATGTATAGAATGGAGACCGTTTTCTATGTGCAGGAGAGTATTCCTCCGCTATAGGTAGGTAAGAGTGTATCTTCTATATATAGAAGAGACATTCTCTCTATTCATAGTAGAGACATTAAACTCGTATATATATGTATATATATATATTTTTTCTATGTGTGTAAGAGAGAAGTACATCTTATACGTAGTATAAGAGATTTTTTCTTTAAGAGAAAAGAGTCTCTATTCATAACCCTCTTCTCCCCTCTCTCTTTTGTATTTTACAGAACATTTCCCACTGTGGTGTTGTGAACCTCGAACGTATGTTCGAAACTCCCGAACGTATTTTTGTTGTAATGGAAAAACTCAAGGGTGATATGTTGGAGATGATCCTGTCCCACGAACGTGGACGACTTAGTGAACGTGTCACGAAATTTTTAATAACACAAATTTTAATTGCCCTCAAACATTTGCACAGTCAAAATGTCGTACATTGTGATTTGAAACCTGAAAATGTTCTACTGTCATCCGATGCAGAGTTTCCGCAGGTGAAGTTATGTGATTTTGGGTATGCACGTATTATTGGTGAGAAATCATTTCGTAGATCTGTTGTTGGTACACCGGCATATTTGGGTAAGTGTTGAGACATAATTTATTGTTAATTATTTATATTTCGATGTGATGCTTTTTAGCTCCTGAGGTATTACGCAATAAGGGCTACAATCGTTCCCTGGATATGTGGAGTGTGGGTGTTATCATCTATGTGAGTTTGAGTGGCACCTTCCCCTTTAACGAAGAAGAAGATATTAATGATCAGATACAAAATGCGGCATTTATGTATCCTCCTAATCCGTGGAAGGAAATCTCCTCGAATGGTATGTGAATGAGATATTGAAATTCTGAACTTCTTTAATCTGGTTTTGATTTTCTTTCCAGCTATTGATTTGATCAATAATTTGCTGCAAGTGAAACAACGAAAACGTTATACAGTGGATAAAAGTTTGCAACACTATTGGCTGCAGGATAAACAAACCTATCATGATCTGCGCAATTTGGAGCGGCAAGTCGGCACGAGATATCTAACCCATGAAGCTGATGATTTACGCTGGGCCAGCAGCACGGGTGATATGTGACCTGTTAATGGTCACACAGCATGTCCCACATTCCAAATTAATGATAAAATTCCCGAATCACCTGAACCGAAACAGCAGCAGCAGGAACAGAAGCAACAGCAGCAGCAGGTCCAACCGAAAACTGTAAAAGAAGAGCAGAGACGCAAATCATCGACTACGACGACACCAACACCCACTCTGCATATGGATTTGGATAATTGTAATTGCCGTAGTTTACCCTCCAATAAGCCAAAGGTGGAAGCCATTGGGGATAAGGCATTGAATTGGATGCGTAACCATTTGTGTCGTCACATCAAATAAATCCATGACTACGTTTTATTTTTACAACAACTCCGCCATGGCCAATAAACTTTTTTTTGAATTTCAAATGGCTGCTATTCGTTACTAATATTACAAACTTTAAAATGACAACGATCAAATAATACGTGTACTAGGTCTACATTCCCAACATCAACTATATTTTCGAATTAAATTTTTTCCTATTCCTCTCTCTCTCTCTTAAATTGAATCCTCAATGTTTTTTACTGGAAAACATGAACAAAAAGGTACCTTAAATTTTACATAAATATTATACATATATCTATTTCTCTATAAATATATATACATGAAGACAGTGTGTGTATTATACACACCTATTATACATATATACAATATTGCCTATAATAAATATAAATATATAAATAAAATAATCATTTAATTAAGTTATAAGTGTTGAATTTTTTTTAAATAAAATTTGAAACGCTTTACAGAAATAAAAAACTAAATATTGTGCTATGTCTCTTGGACCCCCCACAATCTCTAATGCTAAACGAATAACAATTTATTAATGCAATTATACAAAAATTAAAAAAAACAAATGCACACATACATACATTTTATGAATAAAATATGTTAATGCTCTTCTGTAGTAAAATTAGTTCGATAAGGAAATTAAGAACACGGATAATATTACTAAAACAAAAGAGACCCAGTTCTCTTTAAAAAATCAAAATTATTAAAACAAATTATAAGAGTCATTTACGTTAATGCTCATGTCATATTTTTTCTTGAATAAAAACAGGATAACAATTATTTCAAAATTTAAAAAAAGTTTTTTTGTTTTATTTTTTATATCGGGAAATATTCTTTTATGGTCATAATCAGGACTTGCATTTTTTGAAGAATATTTTTTCAAGGCCTTAGACAAGACGTGGATTTATTAAAGAATATTTTTTCAAAACCCAATCCAAGGCGTGGATTTATTAAAGAATATTTTTTCAAGACCCCAAGCAAGGCGTGGATTTATTAAAGAATATTTTTTCAAGACCCCAAGCAAGGCGTGGATTTATTAAAGAATATTTTTTCAAGACCCCAAGCAAGGCGTGGATTTATTAAAGAATATTTTTTCAAGACCCCAAGCAAGGCGTGGATTTATTAAAGAATATTTTTTCAAGACCCCAAGCAAGGCGTGGATTTATTAAAGAATATTTTTTCAAGACCCCAAGCAAGGCGTGGATTTATTAAAGAATATTTTTTCAAGACCCCAAGCAAGGCGTGGATTTATTAAAGAATATTTTTCAAGGGCCAACTGAGGCGTGGATTTAATAAAGAATATTTTTCAAGGGCCAACTGAGGCGTGGATTTAATAAAGAATATTTTTCAAGGGCCAACTGAGGTGTGGATTTATTAAAGAATATTTTTCAAGGGCCAACTGAGGCGTGGATTTATTAAAGAATATTTTTCAAGGGCCAACTGAGGCGTGGATTTATTAAAGAATATTTTTCAAGGGCCAACTGAGGCGTGGATTTATTAAAGAATATTTTTCAAGGGCCAACTGAGGCGTGGATTTATTGAAGAATTTTTTTCAAGGGACCTGAGGCGTGGATTTATTAAAGAATATTTTTCAAGGGCCAACTGAGGCGTGGATTTATTAAAGAATATTTTTCAAGGGCCAACTGAGGCGTGGATTTATTAAAGAATATTTTTCAAGGGCCAACTGAGGCGTGGATTTATCAAAGAATATTTTTCAAGGGCCAACTGAGGCGTGGATTTATTAAAGAATATTTTTCAAGGGCCAGCACACAGGCGTGGATTTATTAAAGAATATTTTTCAAGGGCCAACTGAGGCGTGGATTTATTAAAGAATATTTTTCAAGGGCCAACTGAGGCGTGGATTTATTAAAGAATATTTTTCAAGGGCCAACTGAGGCGTGGATTTATTAAAGAATATTTTTCAAGGGCCAACTGAGGCGTGGATTTATTAAAGAATATTTTTCAAGGGCCAACTGAGGCGTGGATTTATAGAATATTTTTCAAGGGCCAACTGAGGCGTGGATTTATTAAAGAATATTTTTCAAGGGCCAACTGAGGCGTGGATTTATTAAAGAATATTTTTCAAGGGCCAACTGAGGCGTGGATTTATTAAAGAATATTTTTCAAGGGCCAACTGAGGCGTGGATTTATTAAAGAATATTTTTCAAGGGCCAACTGAGGCGTGGATTTATTAAAGAATATTTTTCAAGGGCCAACTGAGGCGTGGATTTATTAAAACCTATTTTTAAAACCTGAGGCGTGGATTTATTAAAAATATTTTTAAGGGCCAACTGAGGCGTGGATTTATTAAAGAATATTTTTCAAGGGCCAACTGAGGCGTGGATTTATTAAAGAATATTTTTCAAGGGCCAATTGAGGCGTGGATTTATTAAAGAATATTTTTCAAGGGCCAACTGAAAACGTGGATTTATTAAAAATACAGCAGACCTAAGGCGTGGATTTATTAATTTTTCAAAGAAGGCGTGGATTTATTAAAGAATATTTTTCAAGGGCCAACTGAGGCGTGGATTTATTAAAGAATATTTTTCAAGGGCCAACTGAGGCGTGGATTTATTAAAGAATATTTTTCAAGGGCCAACTGAGGCGTGGATTTATTAAAAAATTAAAGAATATTTTTCAAGGGCCAACGGAGGCGTGGATTTATTAAAGAATATTTTTCAAGGGCCAATTATTAAAGAATATTTTTCAAGGGCCAACTGAGGCGTGGATTTATTAAAGAATATTTTTCAAGGGCCAACTGAGGCGTGGATTTATTAAAGAATATTTTTCAAGGGCCAACTGAGGCGTGGATTTATTAAAGAATATTTTTCAAGGGCCAACTGAGGCGTGGATTTATTAAAGAATATTTTTCAAGGGCCAACTGAGGCGTGGATTTATTAAAGAATATTTTTCAAGGGCCAACTGAGGCGTGGATTTATTAAAGAATATTTTTCAAGGGCCAACTGAGGCGTGGATTTATTAAAGAATATTTTTCAAGGGCCAACTGAGGCGTGGATTTATTAAAGAATATTTTTCAAGGGCCAACTGAGGCGTGGATTTATTAAAGAATATTTTTCAAGGGCCAACTGAGGCGTGGATTTATTAAAGAATATTTTTCAAGGGCCAACTGAGGCGTGGATTTATTAAAGAATATTTTTCAAGGGCCAACTGAGGCGTGGATTTATTAAAGAATATTTTTCAAGGGCCAACTGAGGCGTGGATTTATTAAAGAATATTTTTCAAGGGCCAACTGAGGCGTGGATTTATTAAAGAATATTTTTCAAGGGCCAACTGAGGCGTGGATTTATTAAAGAATATTTTTCAAGGGCCAACTGAGGCGTGGATTTATTAAAGAATATTTTTCAAGGGCCAACTGAGGCGTGGATTTATTAAAGAATATTTTTCAAGGGCCAACTGAGGCGTGGATTTATTAAAGAATATTTTTCAAGGGCCAACTGAGGCGTGGATTTATTAAAGAATATTTTTCAAGGGCCAACTGAGGCGTGGATTTATTAAAGAATATTTTTCAAGGGCCAACTGAGGCGTGGATTTATTAAAGAATATTTTTCAAGGGCCAACTGAGGCGTGGATTTATTAAAGAATATTTTAAGGGCCAACTGAGGCGTGGATTTATTAAAGAATATTTTTCAAGGGCCAACTGAGGCGTGGATTTATTAAAGAATATTTTTCAAGGGCCAACTGAGGCGTGGATTTATTAAAGAATATTTTTCAAGGGCCAACTGAGGCGTGGATTTATTAAAGAATATTTTTCAAGGGCCAACTGAGGCGTGGATTTATTAAAGAATATTTTTCAAGGGCCAACTGAGGCGTGGATTTATTAAAGAATATTTTTCAAGGGCCAACTGAGGCGTGGATTTATTAAAGAATATTTTTCAAGGGCCAACTGAGGCGTGGATTTATTAAAGAATATTTTTCAAGGGCCAACTGAGGCGTGGATTTATTAAAGAATATTTTTCAAGGGCCAACTGAGGCGTGGATTTATTAAAGAATATTTTTCAAGGGCCAACTGAGGCGTGGATTTATTAAAGAATATTTTTCAAGGGCCAACTGAGGCGTGGATTTATTAAAGAATATTTTTCAAGGCCAACTGAGGCGTGGATTTATTAAAGAATATTTTTCAAGGGCCAACTGAGGCGTGGATTTATTAAAGAATATTTTTCAAGGGCCAACTGAGGCGTGGATTTATTAAAGAATATTTTTCAAGGGCCAACTGAGGCGTGGATTTATTAAAGAATATTTTTCAAGGGCCAACTGAGGCGTGGATTTATTAAAGAATATTTTTCAAGGGCCAACTGAGGCGTGGATTTATTAAAGAATATTTTTCAAGGGCCAACTGAGGCGTGGATTTATTAAAGAATATTTTTCAAGGGCCAACTGAGGCGTGGATTTATTAAAGAATATTTTTCAAGGGCCAACTGAGGCGTGGATTTATTAAAGAATATTTTTCAAGGGCCAACTGAGGCGTGGATTTATTAAAGAATATTTTTCAAGGGCCAACTGAGGCGTGGATTTATTAAAGAATATTTTTCAAGGGCCAACTGAGGCGTGGATTTATTAAAGAATATTTTTCAAGGGCCAACTGAGGCGTGGATTTATTAAAGAATATTTTTCAAGGGCCAACTGAGGCGTGGATTTATTAAAGAATATTTTTCAAGGGCCAACTGAGGCGTGGATTTATTAAAGAATATTTTTCAAGGGCCAACTGAGGCGTGGATTTATTAAAGAATATTTTTCAAGGGCCAACTGAGGCGTGGATTTATTAAAGA